CTAAGGTCGCTCAATGGGTTTTGTATGGCCGAGATTCAAATCTTGATTTCCAGAGTCATTTCAGACCTATGGCAACCCAATCATAGCTTTGACCGCTTTGAGTCCCCCCAGGGGTGAGAAAGGCGGCATATAAATACTGTAAATAATAAATCATTGGGTTTTTACTGGCAAGATTCATTCAGAATATGTTTGCTATTACTTTCCCCTGAGGCTGAGAGAGTGTGACTTTGCCCAGTGGGTTTCCATGGCTGAGTGAGGATTTGAACCCAGCTCCCCAGAGTCTCAGTCCAATGCTTAAACCACATCACCGTAGCCACACATTGAAGCGATTGTCCTCCGCCATCAACTTCGCTGGACCAGCCACATTGTCCGGATGCCCGACCACCGCAAGGACCTGAAAACCTGGTGGTTCCAGCAGGCCTTTGGAAATGGTTAGCTCCAGGTCCTACCACGGCTATTGGTTAGGTTCCCGCTCTGCACTCTACCCACTTCCCCGGCCCTCTGCTACCTCATTGTTTTTGCTCTGGCCCAGCCCTCTTATAGCTATTAGGCATGATTAGGTCCACTCAGAATCTTTGTTATTTGGAATAAAGTCGGAAAGATTTCCTTTTTGAAGCGATTTTGAACTTTTTTAGGAAATCGGACGTCCCCTTGCCCTTCCGAAGCTAGTTTCGACATTTTTTTCCAACTCAGGAAGTGAGTCGGAAATGATTCAGCTTTCCCCCTGCTTCTGGTCCCTGGCCTCAGCTCAAGCCAGAGAAGTGAGTTATAAACCAGAGAAGGGTGAATTAAATTTCCTCCCGTTTGCTTTTCCTGCTTCTGACTCAAACCAGAGAAGTGAGCTATAAACCAGAGAAAGGTAAATTTCCTCCCGTTTGCTTTTCCTGTTTCTGGCTCAAGCCAGAGAAGTGAGTTATAAACCAGAGAAGGGTGAATTTCCTCCTGTTTGCTTCTCCCGCTTGTGGCTCAAGCCAGAGAAGCCAGTTTTAAACCAGAGAAGGGTGAATTTCCTCCGCTTGCTTTTTCCCGCTCCTGGAGTAAAACAACTACTTTTAAAGTAAAGACCACCCAATGAAACAGGAAATATCACTTTCAAACCATTAATGAAAGGATTCGGAAATCTTGGAAGTTTCAAAAAGTTTTGAACATTTTTTTTCTGTGAAAATCGGAATTGACTTTAGAATCGTACCACCAGCGCCTCCTACATCCGAAACGAGTTTCAAACCATTTTTTGGATCAAACAAGCCTAATAGCTATCCAGTAGGCCCTGATAATGAATAGTTACGGCCATTCGTTAGGGCCCTGTTCTGCACTTTACCCACTTCCCCGGCCCTATGTTTCCTCATTGGCCCAGCCCTCTTACAGTTGTGCAGAAGTCCTTGGAAATAAATATCCAGAACACCTTTGTGGATACCAAAGAACTTTTGTGGTCTCGCAGTCCCACTGAACATTGGTGTATATTTTCCCCCTCCCTGTGTGTGTCACCACGAGAGGTGCCTATATGGTGCCCACTGATCCCAGGGACCCTCTTTGTGTCACTCTGCCAACCTTTTCAATTATTTTATATGAATTAAATCATTTATATGGATTGACAGCAGATCGGTGCCTTACTGAACCCCGTGTTGCCCTTTATGAACTCCCAGGTGACAAGGTTCCTATACGGTTCCGGCCCAGCGTATCTGTCCGAAAGTATCTCCATCTACGTCCCGCCTCGGAGTTTACGATCTTCTGGGGAGGCCCTGCTCTCGGCCCCACCACTATCACAAGTGAGGTTGGTGGGGACGAGGAGCAGGGCCTTCTCGGTGGTGGCCCCTCACCTGTGGAATTCACTCCCCGGGGAAATTAGGTCATCGACATCCCTCCTCTCTTTTAGAAGGAAATTAAAAACATGGATATAGGACCAGGCTTTTGGGTAATCTGGTAGATAGACAAAGGACAATTGACGACTAGAATTGATAGGATTTGACAATGTGGAATGAATTTACGGACTCGGAGCTGGCGAACGTTGAGCATTAGATTGGTTTTATTGATTATGATGTATAATTTATTGTTTTAATTGTTTTTAATTGCTTTTATATATGTTTTATCTTACTGTTTGTGTTGGCATCGAATTGTGCCTTTTGTAAGCCGCCCTTAGTCCCCCCTTGGGGGTTGAGAAGGACGGGGTAGAAATGCACTAAATAATAAAATAATAATAAGGATCCCTCTGTTCCCCCATCCTGCATGCTCCCCAAACATCCTTGCACCTTTGCCCTTAGTGTCAGGGATCCCTCAAGTCCCTTTCATGCAAAGGGACTCACTGGGACCCCAAAACCCTTCTTTGACCCTCAGGAGCAGCAAGTATGGGTCTCTGAGTGGGGCTCTCTCTGAGCCCCACTCTGTATGTTCCCCAAAAACTCCATAGTGAGAGGTCTCTACCAGTATGGGTTCCCCTCCTCTCTATGGATCCCCCTCCTAGATCTGTAAGGAGGAACCTATTAGAATCATAGACCTCTTGCCATTCAGAAATACCCAATCAAAGCCCTCCTGACAGATGGCCATCCAGGTCTGCTTAAAAATCTCCAAAGAAGGAGACTCCACCAGACCCCAAAGCAGCATAATCCATTCTTGAACAGCTCTTAGCATCAGGAAGTTCTTTCTAATGTTTAGGTGGAATCTCTTTTCCTATATTTTGATCAGAAGGGAATAAATGACACTCTGCACATTGCTCATAGTAACCTCTGACAAAGTCCAGATATGAACCCCATTTGGGCAAATGGGAAGGAATAGGTTTCCTGCAAATGAAAAAAAACCACTCCGTATTTCGAGCACTTTTATTAATATATTTTTATTAAATTATTTTTTTTCCTGCAAGACTTATTTAATGTATTTTTTTTTCAATCCCAAAGACACGAAATAAGAAATATCCAGTCAAAAAGGCAAACCAGGAAGAAGGGGACAAAAGGGGGGGGGAGGGAGGGGGGGGGTATTCTTCGGATCAAGGCCGGAGCAAAGCACTGGAAAGGGAGGAGTTGGGGGGCAGGCGGTATAAAACCGGAGGGAAGGGTACATTATTTTTTTCCTGTTTTTTTTGTTCAGCTATACAGACATTCTCAGTATACACAGCACACAGCAAAGGATCAGTCGCTTCCTCATGCAGGATCCAGGGAGGGGCTGAGCGGGAGATTCCTTGCGGAGGACACCCCAGAAGAGTATATCAGAGGACCCCCATCATCATCATCATAATTATCATCATCATCATCCTCATCCTCTCTCTTTGGACCATTCTCACCCACAAAAACAAACCGCAAAGCCCTGTTCCTTTTTTTAAAGCCCTCTATTTATTTTTTTAAGCTTCTTCTTGCCCTTAAAATGCCTCTCCTTGCCATCTGGAAGGCAGGACTTCCTGTATTGCACTCTTGAGCACCCCGAAAAAAGGCCGAATTCCCTATTTCGGGGCCTCTCCTATTGCACTTTTCCTTTCCCAAAGGCACAACTTCTTGGTTTTATTTTATTTCCCCCATAGGGGTCAACTCTTTAACCCTCTAGAAGGCAACTTATTTCCTTTTTTCCCCCACTTGCAGCTATATCCTTTTCCAAACTTTCCTGGAGGTGGAATTTCCTCTGTCCTTTTCCCCTCCTAATGCAGTTTCCCCCATTAAGGCGCTTTATCCAATATTTTGGGATCCTTTCTGAACTTGTCGGTTTTGGTGGGCATCCAAGAAGGTGCTCTCCCTAGCCATATACATATACACACACACACACACACATACATATCTTCTTTCTAAATATATATATAAAAGTCAAAGTACATACTGTGTCTGTTTGTACCACAAAAGCTGCTCCTTCCTTCCTTCCTTCCTTCCTTCCTTCCTTCCTTCCTTCCCTCCCTCCCTCCCTCCTCTTCCTCTCCTTCCCTTCTTTCTACTTTCCTTTCTTTCTCTCCTTTTTCCTCTTTCTTTATTTCTTCCCTCCCTCCTTTCCCCTAATACATGTCACTTCTTTCCCAATGACATCACAGAGGGCCACTTCACTTAGAAATTGCCAGTCCAGTGACATCACAGATGGCCACTTCACCCAGAAACAGCCAGTCCACTGACATCAGAGGGCCACTTCACTTAGAAATTGCCAGTCCAGTGACATCACAGATGGCCACTTCACCCAGAAACAGCCAGTCCACTGACATCAGAGGGCCACTTCACTTAGAAATTGCCAGTCCAGTGACATCACAGAGGGCCACATCACCTAGAAACAGCCAGTCCAGTGACATCACAGAGAGCCACTTCACCCAGAAACAGCCAGTCCTGTGACATCAGAGGGCCACTTCACCCAGAAACAGCCAGTCCAGTGACATCACAAGGGCTACTTCACTTAGAAATTGCCAGTCCAGAGACATCACAGAGGGCCACTTCACCTAGAAACTGCCAGTCCAGTGACATCAGAGGCCACTTCACCTAGAAACTGCCAGTTCAGTGACATCACAGAGGGCCAATTCACTTAGAAATTGACAGTCCAGTGACATCACAGAGAGCTACTTCACCTAGAAACTGCCAGTCCAGAGACATCACAGAGGGCCACTTCACCCAGAAACTGCCAGTCCAGTGACATCACAGAGGGCCACTTCACCCAGAAACTGCCAGTCCAGTGACATCATAGAGGGCTACTTCACCTAGAAACCGCTAGTCCAGTGACATCATAGAGGGCCACTTCACCCAGAAACTGCCAGTCCAGTGACATCACTGAGGGCCACTTCACCTAGAAACCGCTAGTCCAGTGACATCATAGAGGGCTACTTCACCCAGAAACTGCCAGTCCAGTGACATCAGAGGGCCACTTCACCTAGAAACTGCCAGTCCAGTGACATCACAGAGGGCCACTTCACTTAGTTTTGTAGTACTTACATACATACAAACATACATACTTTGACTTTTATATATATATAAGATATACACACATATATGGCTAGGGATATGTGTGTGTGTGTATGTGTGTGTGTATATATGTATATATGTATGTGTGTGTGTGTATATATATATATTTTCTAGAACTTCATACCTTTGGCCCAGACACACTTCTGCTGCCTTAAAGAGGCATTTTTTTCCAATTTGGTCCTGCAGCAAATACCCACTTTTCCCCCATCTAGACTTGCTATTTATGGGAATTCCACAGTCCTCTTTGTGAAAAATCCCTCTTCTCCCAAGCAAAAGGAATCTCCCTTTCACCCTCTCGTTAGTTTATAGTATTTAATTTTATTATTCAAACGCTGCGAGAAAAATGTTTATAAAAGCGTAAATAAAAAGTTTTTTAACTTTTTTCCCCCCTTTTCTTCTTTTTGTTTGTTTGTTCGAAAAGAAGGTTCCGGTTCCCTTGGGAAAAGGAGGTGGCGGAGAGAGAGAGAAGGTAAGAGAGAGAGAGAGAAACATGAATATGGAAAAGAAGAGGGAAAAAAAAAACAGAGAGAAAGACAAAAACCATCCTCTTGAATGCTCCCCAAATTTTGAAAATTTGCTCTGCTTTTTTTGCTCCTTCCACCCCACAGCACCATCTAGTGGTCGAAAAGGGGAGGGCTGCAAGGGAAATTGATTCCCTTGGATTAGGAAATAATTGGCCCCTTCTTCAAAATTCAGAATTTCAAGAGAGCATCTTGGAAGGAGACTGATAGAAAAAGACGATGTTTATGTGTACAGGAATGGAGGAGAGCTTAGTTTTCCCTTTCTTGTCAGGCCAATAGATCTCCTAAAGTTGAAGGGAGAGAGGGAGAGAGGAGGAAAGGGGCAAGACAGGTCGAAGCTCCCTATTGTCAACACTTTCGTGCCTCTTGAGGCGCAAACGCATCGCTGAATCTAAACGTGATTCTCTCCCCAAAGCATAGACGAAGACAGGTTTTTTAAAAAATGCCCCACTTTTGCAAAATGTGGTCCAGAAAGATGGATGGGGCTGGATGGGTGGAAAGATTGGGGGGGAAAGGTGAGAAAGAGGTGGAAGATGGGAGGTGTGGTCGTAGTTTCGGAGAGATAGCAAGAAAAAACAGAGAAATCTCCAGTAGAAAGAGAGCCCTTCGTATGTAAACAATCTAGAAAGGGTCAAAAGGGGGTTAGGGGGCAGGAAGGGAGGTGGGTGGGGTAAAAGATATGTGAAAAAGAGAAAAAGGGGGGCAAGGTAGAAAGGCAGAGGATGGAAAAGAGTCTGTTCCCAAACCGTCGAGGAAACGGGGTCCAAAGCGCCCCCTTGGTTTCCGCCTGTCTCAGGTGAGGAGAAGCGAGAACAGGTAGGCCAGGCTCACGTCAACCAGCAGGACGGCAGCAATGACCAGAGGATGGGCTCCCTGCAATTAAGAGAGAGAGAGAGAGAGAGAGAGAAGAAAGAATGTGAAGAGCCAGAAGAGAGAGAGCGAGATCAGCAGATGTCCGCTGTTAACTTAAAGGAGTCTTTGCCATTATTATTATTATTATTATTAAACTTTATTTGTACCCCGCTAGCATCTCCCAAAGGACTCGATGCGGCTTACAAAGGCCAAGGCCTCAACACACAGTACAACAATACAAAACCTAAGGCAAATTAAAACAACAATTAAAGCAATCTAAAACAACAAGCAATAAACAATCCACTAAGACACAATAAAACTGGGCCGGGCCAGAGTAAGGGTACAAGAGTTAAAAGTGCTGATGTGACAGGTGGAATATGAGGCTTATGGGCAAGTGCAGTGTGCAGTGTGCGGCAATCTTAATTCTAATAAAGTGCTTCTGGGACTTGGTATTGGAGATTTCCTATTCTGGAAGGCACATCGGAACAGCCAGGTCTTCAAGTTCTTTCTGAAGACTGCCAATGTAGGGGCCTGTCTAAGATCTTTGGGGAGGGTGTTCCAGAGTTGGGGGGCCACCACAGAAAAGGCCCTGTCTCGTGTCCCCACCAAACACGCTTGCGACGCAGGCGGGATCACGAGCAGGGCCTCTCCAGATGACCGAAGTGAACGCGTGGGTTCGTAGACGGAGATGCGGTCACGCAGGTAGGCTGGTCCCAAACCGTTCAGGGCTTTGTAGGTAAGCACCTGCACCTTAAATTGTAGGTAAACGGCAGCCAGTGGAGCTCCTTGAACAGGAGGGTTGACCTCTCTCTGTAAGGAGCCCCAGTTAACATCCTGGCTGCTGCTCGTTGGACCAGTTGGAATTTCCGAGCCGTTTTCAAGGGCAGCCCCACGTAGAGCGCATTACAGTAATCCAACCTAGAGGTGACCAAGGCATGGACCACTCCGGCCAGATCAGCCTTCACGAGGTACGGTCGCAGTTGGCGCACGAGTCTTAATTGTGCGAAAGCCCTCCCAGACACCGCCGACGCCTGACCCTCAAGCGAAAGCGATGAGTCCAGGAGGACTCCAAAACTGTGGACCCGTTGTGTGATATTACATCTGTCTTTACTTATAGTGAAGTCGAACATGACACAACCCCCCCCCCCCATAAAAGATAGTAACTTATAGTTTTGCTAAGGACAAGGACACCAGACTGGATAATAAGGGTTAAGCCTTGGTCAATTTGCCAAGACACTAACAACAACAAGGACCCTTCCCATGTTAGATAGTGTGTACATTTAATCAAGGTTTTATGCCCTAGGTTTCATATATAGCAGAAGGTAGCACATTTATTACTGAGAAACCACCTCCCTTTACACTTATGTGCTCTCTTAACTTCTATGGGACTCTGGTGGGAGGGTTAAGTGGGTATGTTTTCTATAACATGATTTCTATATTTCTATATTCCTCCCTGTGTATCTGACCTTTTCCTGACCCTTTTGCCCAATTCCCCTTTATTGAAAAATGTATAAAAATACACATCCCACCATGCTGAAACAGTGGATGTGGCTCCTAATGAGACAAGTCGTATTATCACAGGATGTCTACACCCTACACCACTGGATAAATTGTACTGTTTAGCTGGTATTGCACTACCTGACATCCACCAGGAAGTAGCAGCCAATAATGAAAGGACCAAGGCAGTGACATCTCTGACCCATTCCCTGTTTGGATATTAGCCAGCACACCAATGCCTTAAATCAAGGAATAGCTTTCTAAGATCTACAGAGAAACTCGCAGGAACACCTCAGCAAGGAAGAGTCCAAAAGTGGCAGGCTAAAACCCGGAACCTCAATCCATGGCTGATACCAAATGAAAGACTCCCTCCTGGGCACACAGAAGATTGGGCGACTTGGAAGGCACTGAACAGACCACGAGCTGCAGAGCTAACCTTAAGAAATGGGGCTACAAAGTGGAGTCCACAACATGCAAGTGTGGGGAAGAGCAAACTACAGACCACCTATTTCAATGCAGTCTGAGCCCTGCCACATGCACAGTTGAGACCTTCTTATAGCAACACAAGAGGCACTCCAAGTGGCGAGCTACTAATCAAAGGACATTTAGTATAACGACAAGTTTTTAACTTTATTTGTCATAAAATCATAGAGTTGGAAGAGACCTCATGGGCCATCCAATCCAACGCCATTCTGCCAAGAAGCAGGGAAATTGCATTCAAAGCACCCCCAACAGATGGCCATCTAGCCTCTGTTTAAAAGCTTCCAAAGAAGGAGCCTCCACCACACTCCGGGGCAGAGAGTTCCACTGCTGAACGGCTCTCACAGTCAGGAAGTTCTTCCTAATGTTCAGATGGAATCTCCTTTCTGTAAGTTTGAAGCCATTGTTCCACGTCCTAGTCTCCAGGGCAGCAGAAAACAAATTTGCTCCCTCCTCCCTATGACTTCCTCTCACGTATTTCTACATGGCTATTATGTCTCCTGTCAGCCTTCTCTTCTTCAGGCTAAACACGCCCAGCTCCTTAAGCCGCTCCTCATAGGGCTTGTTCTCCAGACCCTTGATCATTTTAGTCGCCCTCCTCTGGACACATTCCAGCTTGTCAATATCTCTCTGATTGTGGTGCCCAGAATTGTGTTTTTAAATACATTACAACTGTACCCTCAATTTGCTTCTGACATGATAAATAATAATAATAATAATAATATAATATTATATATATTACATATTATATAATAATATTATATATTATTATATAATTAATAATATTAATAATATTATATTATTATATATATTATATATATATTATATTATAATAATATAATATAATATATATTATATATTATATTATATAATAATATAATATATTATTATTATTATTATTATTATTGAGGCAGTGCTGTGTGTGTCAAGATAACACCAATCTTCATGTTTTGCTTTCGCCAGCTAACACTCAGGGGTTAACATCCAAGTTGTCTGTTCAATTCCCGGCTTGGCATCCATTCCTCTTCTCATCAGCCCTCCGAAAAGGGAGAATGCCCAGGAGACGTGGCTCTCAGGCTGCCACCTGGCTGTTCCAACCAGGACCTTTGGATTATTTATGACCTGCAGTCCTGGCTGCCAGAGACTCCCATCGTCCCCCACTGCGGCGCTGTGGGAAGGGCGGGGCCTGTGAGATGCTGCAGTAGAGAAGGAGGGACCAAGCGGAAAGATGCTGCTGCTGCTGCTGCCTAGCAAAGGATGCTGGTTGCTAGGCAACGGGAGGAAGGATGCCAGCCAATCCCCATTGGAACCCGGTTGCTAGGCTTCCTCCTCTGGGCCCTCCCACATCTCTCTTTTGCAGAGTGAAAAGAAGGGGAGGGGGAGGAATATCTGTACTACATTTGCAGTTCAGTGAACAGAAAAAGCAAAAGGGGGGGGTCAAGTGTTAGCCCCCCAAAAACCTAGCACCATTTAAAGGTGGGCACTGAGATCCTATGAGCTAGAGATGGGGAGAAAGGTTCTCGGTTTACACCCAAAAACGGACCACAAGGACCCATCCTGTCTTCAATTTGCAGGAAGGGATGGGCTGGACTAGAACACTGCCAGGCAATCAAATGCTAATCAAGGTGGTCAGTTGAAACATTCACTCCTAGCTCCAGCACACAAGAGTCCTTTGTCTCACCCTGGTCATTCCACAGATATATACACCCATTGTCCTAATTCCAACAGACCTCACTACCTCTGAGGATGCTTGCCATAGATGCAGGTGAAAAGTCAGGAGAAATGCCTCTAGAACAGTGTTTCTCAACCTGGGGGTTGGGACCCCCGAGGGGGTCGCGAGGGGGTGACAGAGGGGTCACCAAAGACCATAAGAAAACACAGTATTTTCTGATGGTCATGGGGATTCCATGTGAGAAGTTTGAGCCAATTCTATCGCTGGTGGAGTTCAGAATGTTCTTTGATTGTAATAAATCCCAGCAACTACAACTCCCAAATGTCAAGATCTATTTTCCGCAGACTCCACTAGTGTTCACATTTGGGCATATTGAGTATTCGTGCCAAGTTTGGTCCAGATCCACCATTGCATGTCCACAGTGCTCTCTGGATATAGGTGAACTACAACTCCCAAACTCAAGGTCAATGCCCATCAAACCCTTCCAGTGTTTTCCATTGGTCATGGGAGCCAAGTTTGGTTCAAATCCATCGCTGGTGCAGTTCAGAATGCTCTTTGATTATAGGTAAACTATAAATCCCAGCAACTACAACTCCCAAATTACAAAATCAATCTTCCTCCAACCCCACTAGAATTCACATTTGGGTATTTGTGCCCAGATTGGTCCAGTGAATGAAAATCCATACTGCATATCAGATATTTACAATATGATTTATAACAATACTAAAATGACTGTTATGAAGTAGCAACAAAACAATATTATGGTTGGGGGTCACCACAACATGAGGGATTGTATGAAGGGGTCATTAGGGTTGGGAACCACTATATTAAGGGGTCGCGGCATTAGGAAGGTTGAGAACCACTGCTCTAGAACATGGCCATACAGCCCAGAAAAAACCTACAACAACCCAACTTGTGATGTGGGGATGATGGGTTCTGTAGTTCTGTAGTATATCTAATCAGCTACTAGGAGCCAGAAGTGGAGGACAGGTCTAATTATCCCCCCAAAATGGACACGAAAATATCATCCCCCCAGATTGCAAGAAGAATTACTAGAACTCCGTTCATCCCCAGCTACGGTGCAACATGAGGATGATGGGTGCTATAGTATCATTTTTGAGGTGGGATGGGGCTGATCGAAAGGGGTACTTTGTGCAAGAGGTGAGGGAAATGGGCTCACATCTTCAACCGAAAAATAAACAAAAAAGACTCATCCTTTCACAGTTTTCAGGAGGAATTAGGTTGGACAGTGACTGCATTCCAATGTGTGGCATGGCGATAATGGGTGTGGTAGTAGTACCCATATTGGGCCGATCTAATGGGACACTATGAGGCAAGGTTATCTAGCTATGATTCTGGTTGGAAGGGGAACTGTATTAGATTAGCGCTCAGAATAGAATTCTTTGGGGGATTTTCTCCCACTATTATTTCGAGGGAAGCTTACTCCCCAAACTGGGAGCTTGTCTCTGGGGCAGAGGGATGTTCTTCTATTCATTTGGATGACTGAGGCCCCAGTTCCCACCACACTGTCATGTTTGGAAAAACAACAAGGCTGGGAATTTCCATGGACCAGTGGGACATCTTGGGAGCTGAGCGGCCAAGTCCCACTGCCCCAGTTTCCTCTCTGGATTTTGTTGTTATCTCATTTGGGGATGCTTTTTTGCACGGATATTTGAGAATGTAGGATTTTTTAGGGGAGAAGGGTGTCCTTAATAAAGGAAATACTGGATTCCTGGCTTTCTAATAATGCAAGACGGAGCCAAGCTGGGAGGGATCAATTGGGTGAGTGGCAGCGACATGAAGGTGAACCTTGGAACTAGAAAAAGGTATACATATATGTGTATGTTTGGGATGAAATACACACTTGTGATGCCTTTGTTAAGCCAGCCAGAAAGGGGGGAAAGTAAAATATATGCCAGCAATTGGAGCACACTAATTTCTCCTTCCATGTAGAGGGAAAAAAGGGTCATGATAGTGTCAAGTCTGTGTGAAAACTCTGTAATATATTAATATTTTAAGTTATTTGAACTGATTTGTATGTCTAATTCATATTATAATAGTGATAGATTTTAAATTGCGCTGTTATTTAATGTTGCGAGCCACTTTGCATCTCAATCAAGAGATAAATGTGGGAATTTTTTTCATGTCAGGAGCAACGAAAACTGCAAGTCGCTTCTGGTGTGAGAGAATTGGCCATCTGCAAGGACGTTGCCCTGGGAACCCCTGGATGTTTTGCCATCCTGTGGGAGGCTTCTTTCATGTCCCTGCAAGGGGAGCTGGAGCTGACAGACAGGAGCTCACCCTGCTCCCTGGATTTGAACTGCTGACCTTTCAGTCAGCAGTCCTGCTGGCATAAGGGTTTAACTCATTGCACCACCGGGGGCTCTTTAATGTGGGATTGTTATAATTATTATTAATTATAATAATTATTAATCTACTGTATTATTAATAATAATGGAGCCCCCGGTGGCACAGTGGGTTAAACCCTTGTGCCGGCAGGACTGAAGACCAACAGGTCGTAGGTTTTAATCCGGGGAGAGTGTGAATGAACTCCCTCTGTGAGCTCCAGCTCCCCACGCGGGGACATGAGAGAAGCCTCCCACAAGGATGGCTAAACATCAAAACATCCGGGCATCCCCTGGGCAACGTTCTTGCAGACGTCCAATTCTCTCACACTGGAAGCAACCTGAAGTTTCTCAAGTCACTCCTGACACAACAAAAATAAATAAATAATAATAATACAGTAAAGTCTTGCTTATCTAACTTTCGCTCACCCAACTTTCTGTATTATCCAATGCAGTCTGCCTCCCAAACGGATCCACAGTTGTTTCAATACATCGCAATGTTTTGGTGCTAAATTCGTAAATACAGTCATTACTACATAACATTACCATGTATTGAACTGTTTTTTCTGTCCATTTGTTGTAAAACATGATATTTTGGTGCTTAATTTGTAAAATCATAACATAATTTGACATTTAATAGGCTTTTCCTCAATCCAAAGTGGAATCCTTGACATGCGTGTGGAGAAGAGCGAACCACTGACCACCTGCTGCAATGCAACCTGAGCCCTGCCACATGCACAATGGAGGACCTTCTTGCAGCAACACCAGAAGCACTCCAAGTGGCCAGATACTGGTCAAAGGACATTTAATCAACTACCAAACTTACAAATTTTGTATTTTGTCTGTCTGTTTGTTTGTTTGTTTGCTTTGTTCTGTTAGAAATGTAATATAATTGACTGGTTGCCCTGACACGACAAAAAATAAATTCTCAATCCCTCTTTATAATCCAACATTTTCGCTTATCCAATGTTCTGCCGACCCCTTTATGTTGGATAAGCGAGACTCTACTGTACTTAAGTAAACATCAAGCAGCACGTGACTGCAACATATCTTTTTGTACTCTGCATAAAGTCTATACCATCTTTGTCATGCACTCAAGGTTGGACTTCTGCAATGGGCTATCTTTGTACCAAGTTCGGAAACTCCAATTAGTACAAAACATGGCAGCCAGATTGGTTACGGGAACATCTAGGAGTGAGTATAGCTCACCTTATTAAAGTGACTCTACTGGTTGCCAATTAGTTTCCTGGCAAAGTACAAAGTGATGGCTATATCCTGTAAAGCCCTATATCAGTGGTTCTCAACCTGTGGGTCCCCAGGTGTTTTGGCCTACAATTCCCAGAAATCTCAGCCAGTTTATCAGCTGTTCGGATTTCTGGGAGTTGAAGGCCAAAACATCTGGGGACCCACAGGTTGAGAACCACTGCCCTATATTGTTTGGATCCAGATTACCTACAGGATTGCCTTCTCCCATACAGTCCAACTCAGACAATGAGGTCCTCTAGGAGAGGTTTATTTCAACCAGCCAGAACCTAACTGGCAACCATCACCCAGAGGACCTTTTCATCAGGTCCCAAGAAATCTTTGGAATAGCTGGCTGTTAGCATTTTGACCAGAGCCAACCTTCAGAAATAGGGCTACAAAGTGGAATCCTCGACATGCGAGTGCGGAGAGGAGCAAACCACTGACCACCTGCTGCAATGCAACCTGAGTCGAGCCACATGCACCATGGAGGACCTTCTTGCAGCAACACCAGAGGCACTCCAAGTGGCCAGATACTGGTCAAAGGACATTTAATCAACTACCAAACTCTCACATTTTGTATTTTCTCTGTTTGTTTGCTTTGTTCTGTTAGAAATGTAATATAATTGACTGGCTGCCCTGACACGAGAAATAAAAGCATTTTGACAGCTATATCAGCTGTCAAAATGTAAGATTAAAGTAAAGACCTATCTCTTCCCAATTTTAAACTATGAATTTTAAATGTACATTCAGTTTGTATTTTAATATATGCAGAACATCTGTATATCTCACTCATTAAGTTAAATCATGATTACACCCAGTGCAAGCCACTTATGATAGGTAATTGCATTACTAGAAATTGCACTTGGGGACCACATGTGGCCTAAGAAACTACCTACCACCAATATATAGCACGTAACCTAGGCATGGGCAAACTTCGTCCCTCCGGGTGTTTTGGACTTCAGCTCCCACAATTCCTAACAGCCGGTAGGCTGTTAGGAATTGTGGGAGCTGAAGTCCAAAACACCCGGAGGGACGAAGTTTACCCATGCCTGATGTAACCCAACCTTGCTTACCTGTCTCTTCCTTCTCCGCACATCTCCAAGGGCCTCCTCTTTTTCTGCTACTGGGGGCCTTGCGTTCCCAAGCACTTCCTCCACCTGTAGTTCAGGGGCCCCAAGGACTCCGGCGGGTGCTGGATCTACCTGGGCCTCCCCAGCAAAAGGCCTGGAAGCTGCCCCTTCTTCCTCCTCTTCGTCTTCCTCCTCCTCTCGGAGGCTGCCGGAGCTGCCACTGGCAGGGCTGCCCAGCATCTGGGGGTGCCGGGGGACCCTCCCGTAGTCTTCCTCTTCCGCTTCGTAGCTGCTCAACTGCTCCTGCTCCTCCTCCCCCTCCCACAGCCCCTCGGGGGCAAATCCTGGTGTCCGAGAGGGGAAACTGCCGCGGCAGCCCCACTCGTCCTCGGGGTCAGAGGCCTCGGGCAGGAACTGGCGGGGACCCCCGTTCTCCAAGGGGGGCCAAGTCCGCCGAGGGTCCCCTCGCCAGGGCTGCAGCGGCGTAGGAGGGTAACTGGGAGGGAGGCTTGGGTCTGGGGTAACGTCCGACGGGGTGATGCCATTCTCATAGACCCGTGGGCTGTCGTACTCCTGGTAGTCGGTGTCGGTGCCTTCAGAATCCAACTGGCCACGAGGCTCTGCAAAAAGGAGGAAGGGTCAGCTGTTAAGAGAGGAAGGTGTTGAGTGTTCAAAGCCCAAAGATACCTGCCAACATCAGATGTCCTTGTACAATTCATGGAAGTACTGAAGAAGTGTTTCCAACCTGCAGTCTTCCAAATGGGCTAGACCACAGCACCCACAACTCCAGCCAGGACCGTAGCAAGGATTTTGTTTCTGGGGGGGGGGGGATGAGTTTGGTTGGGGGGGGGGGGGGCTGAGTCTGAGTGAAAGAGGGACCCCTAGCAAACCTTTTGTATCATTACCCCAATACCCCCATGCATATGGGATATATTGAGTATAGTGATCAGATCATGATATGAATAAACATAACAGTTTAAATAATGCACCAGTAAGACCTTTTCGCGAACCACCATGAGAATTTGGGGGGGGGGCCGCACCCCCAAGCCCCCCCCCCCCGCTACGTGCCTGACTCCAGCCATCGCGATTGTGACATCTAAAGAAGGCGTCTTTTACTTTTTTTTACTCATGACTGTTTTCCACCTGAGAAAGTTTTATGTGACCCCAGGTATATATATAGGCACATAAAAGAGCTATGAACATCAAAACATTTACTGATAATAAATCAGCATTTGCATGGCTTGATAAACAGCCTGATTTCCCTTTTATGAAGTACAGCCGAAGCATTTTCTACAGAGTCCACTGTAAACACTGCACATTGTTGCTAACAGGTTTGTGTAAATGGGTAGCGTCCCAAAATCTTTAACTGTTGCCAATTTCTTGACAACATTGAGTGACCTCGTTTGAGGTTGGGATCCAAAGTTTAAGAAGCTGAGATCTATTTATTTATTTATTTACTTTATTTGTATACCGCTGTTTCTCTGCCCTTAGGCGACTCAACGCGATTAACAACAGCAGCAGCAAAAATTCAATGCTAGCATCATACAAACTATTTAAAAACAATTAACACAATAACACACTAAGTAATTACACATCAGTAAACAACTCATTAGCGTCTCATAACTAGAATCATGATCCAGCTCGTCATCCATAGTTCCGTTTTGCTATATTCATTGCACTGCCTATTCAAACGCCTGTTCAAATAACCAGGTTTTCACTTTTCTCCGAAATACCATTAGTGAGGGGGCCAATCTAATGTCCGTGGGAAGGGCGTTCCACAGCCGAGGGGCCACCACTGAGAAGGCCCTGTCCCTCGTCCCCGCCAAACGTGCCTGTGTTGCAGGCGGGATCGAGAGCAAGGCCTCCCCAGAGGATCTTAAAGTCCTAGTGGGTTCGTAGGCGGAGATGCGTTTGGATAGGTAACTTGGGCCAGAACCGTTTAGGGCTTTATAGGCCAATGCCAGCACTTTGAATTGTGCCCGGTAGCAAATTGGTAGCCAGTGGAGCTGGCGCAGCAGAGGAGTTGTATGCTCCCTGAGTGCCGCTCCTGTTAATATCATGGCTGCCGAATGTTGAACCAATTGAAGCTTCCAAGCAGTCTTCGAAGGCAACCCCACGTAGAGAGCGTTGCAGTAGTCTAAACGGGATGTAACCAGAGCGTGGATTACCGTGGCCAAGTCAGACTTCCCAAGATAGATCTAGAGAATTGTGGGAATGGGAATCCAAAAGCCATTTGAGAATAATCAGTGCTAGCTAGGGGGAGGGATGCACATAATTATTTTGAAATATTTTATATGGTCCCAAAAATGTGTTGACAAACCCTGACCCAGAATTGATGAGAATTTTTGCAGAGCAGGACAAATTTTATGCAGAATTTGATTATAGGATTTTTTTTATTTGCAATTTTTAAAGCATTTTCTGCATGAAAAAGTTGCTACCAAAATGCCAACTGCAAATTTTGTGCAAAATACTGCAAATAAGCCTTGAAAATATATGAAGGCTTTATAATAGCAGGAAGAAAATTGCAAAATTGCTTATTGCCTCCTTTGGGAATAACAACATTATCACACCAGGACTTTAAAGCGGTCTGCCCCGCATTTCTGCTACCTGCAGAATTCTGGGAAATATAGTTTAGGGCAAGGCTTTTTGAATTCTCAGCTACAGAGATACTTGCCTTCCCAAAGGACATTTCCCAAGAATTTTGCTCATGGCAGAAATGTTTAAAGCCCAGCTGTGATAACTTGGAAAAATTAGGAAAAAATTACATTGGATAATGTTTATAATTAGGAGACGCAAATGACTTATGCTTTTATTACTCTTGTTATGGTTTTATACTATGTATTAATGTTTTAAATATTTTATGATGTTCTTGAGCATTGAATCGTTGCCTCTGTAAACCGTCCTGAGTTGCCTGAGGCCTGAGAAGGGCGGTATACAAAGACAATAACTTTGTATAATAATAAATAAATATCTAGCTGAGGGGTTATGGAGTTGAAATTTCAAAACATTCAGATGGAGAGGGCTACACTAAATAAACAATCTGGAATTTAATCTCATTGGCCTGTTTGTCTATTTCCTTTCGAAGGCAGCTGATACCACTATTCTATCTCTGTTTTATAGTAATTTCTCTAAATTAATAAACCATTGTATAAGGAATTTCTATTGCAGGGAAATGGGCTGTGAGGACAAATTTGCAAAAAGTAGGAAGTCATTAAAAGAACAGAACTCAGTTACTTTTTTTATACTATAGTCACTATCCTGAATGGGAGATTCTGGAAATTCTCAAATAAAAAAGTCACTTTCCTGAGCTCTGGGAAAGATATTGGGATGCAGAATCACAACGGAAAAACACTAATGCTGGTTTTCTACTCAATGCAAGTTTCCCTTCAAATACCCCATTTTTTCTTTAAAAGGGATTCCATATAGAAAAATATTCTATATGAAACAAACATTGACTTGGAACTGGACTGAGTCCATAAACTATACACATCCACTATACCCCAAAATTTTTCTAGAGGCATCATTGTGTCCTTAGGTTCTTCCAGCCACCCAAAGCATCTCACCAGGTTCAGTTAGGATGGGTTGCAGTTCTTGGGCCAAAATTTTGGCCAGGCGTCCAGCTTCCAGGGCTTTCTCGGCTGCAGCGAGTGCAGCGGCAGCTTTCAGACGAGCATCTGCAGCCCTGTAAGAGGAGAGGAAACAGAGTCGTTGGTATGTTGTATGATTTAAGGAAAGGAGAACAAAGCTTCTTGTGGTTACACTGAATTACAGCAGGTGCCCACTTTTGCCAGGGTTAGAGCATAGGACCCTTACAAAAGTGGGAAACCTGTAAATTCAAAAAGCACTATTTTTTTTCTTAAGAGAATATGGCCAGCAATCTCTAACATGACTCTGTGGTCAACCTCTGGTAGAAGTTTACCTAGAGATTCTTAGAAAAAACCATTAAGACAACTAAAAATCGAATCTGTAAAAGTTAAATACACAAATATGGGGGGCCAACTATATTATCTAACCCAAAAAGTGTCAGCTTCAGTGTCTTCCCTTGATATCAATTTTCAGGTTATATGATAGATCAGGGGTCCTCAAACTAAGGCCCGGGAGCCGGATGCGGCCCTCCAAGGTCATTTACCCGGCCCTCGCTCAGGGTCAACCTAAGTATGAAACTACTTGAATGCACACATAACAACAACAATAATCATATCTCATCAGCCAAAAGTAGGCCCACATTTTCCATCGAAATACTAATATGTTTATATTTGTTAAAATTGTTCTTAATTTTAATTATTGTATTGTTTTAAAATGTTTTTGCACTATAAATAAGATATGTGCAGTGTGCATAGGAATTCATTCATGTTTTTTTTAATTATAATCCGGCCCGCCAACAGTTTGAGGGACTGTGACCTGGCCCTTTGTTTAAAAAGTTTGTGGACCCTTGTGATAGATCACTTTCTCCCATGGGAGTCTGGCCTTAAATTCGGATTTTCGATGGAAATCCTATACCAGAAGTTAGTGTGTCAGTTGCAGTGTGTAGGCGTGTAACGTAAATGTAACTAGAAAGCTATGAGCCTACATCAGTGGTTCTCAACCTTCCTAATGGCGTGACCCCTTAATACAGTCCCTCATGTTGTGGTGACCCCCAACCATAATATTGTTTTCATTGCTACTTCATAACAGTCATTTTACTACTGTTATAAATCATAATGTAAATATCTGATATGCAGGATGCATTTTCATTCACTGGACCAAACTGGGCACAAATACCCAATACACCCAAATGTGAATGCTAGTGGGGTTGGGCGAGGATTGATAGTTGCTAGGATTTATAGTTCACTTATAATCAAAGTGCATTCCGAACTCCACCAGCGATGGATTTGAACTAAACTTGGCTCCCATGACCAATGGAAAACATTGGAAGGGTTTGATGGGCATTGACCTTGAGTTTGGGAGTTGTAGTTCACCTATATCCAGAGAGCACTGTGGACTCATGCAATGGTGGATCTGGACCAAACTTGGCACAAATACTCAATATGCCCAAATGTGAACACTGGTGGAGTCCGGGGAAAATAGATCTTGACATTTGGGAGTTGTAGTTGCTGGGATTTATAGTTCATTACAATCAAAGAACATTCTGAACTCCACCAACCATAGAATTGGCTCAAACTTCCCACATGGAATCCCCATGACCATCAGAAAATACTGTGTTTTCTTATGGTCTTTGGCGACCGCTCTGACACCCCCTCGCGACCCCCTCGGGGGTCCCGACCCCCAGGTTGAGAAACACTGGCCTACGTGAAATGGGCAATGAATGATATATTTTGAAATTAAAAAAAACTAATGGATAAAACTTTAAGGGGAAAAAACTTAGACAAAATAGGGGATTGGGTAAAGGTGGGAATGAAGAAGGAAATGATTATGGAAGAATTTAGAGAAATAAAATTGACATGGTTCCATTGTATACAATTAGAACAATGGTTTAAAAACTGGGTAAAAATAATAAAAATGGAAGTAAGCTTAACCAATTCAAAAAATAATACAAAATGGAAGGGCTGTAGAGGAGCATGAAAATTTGAAAGGAATAACTAGTAAAGTATATAAGATAATAATTGAAATAAAGGAAGGAAAAACAAATAACAACACCCTTAAGGAGGTCTGGGAAGAAGATTTAGGGATAAAAATAAATGAATCATAGAATCAAAGAGTTGGAAGAGACCTCATGGGCCATCCAGTCCAACCCCATTCTGCCAAGAAGCAGGAATATTGCATTCAAATCACCCCTGACAGATGGCCATCCAGCCTCTGTTTAAAAGCTTCCAAAAAAAGGAGCCTCCACCACACTCCGGGGCAGAGAGTTCCACTGCTGAACGGCTCTCACAGTCAGGAAGCAGAATGGCAACAATTATGGAGACAAAGACATCTAAAGAATTTATCAATATGGGTTTAAAAAATTACTATAAGTTAATATGGAAATGGTAAATTACACCAGTAAGAATAGCAAAGGATCAGGATCATATATACATATGTGGTGGCAATGTAAATAATAAAATAATTTTGCGGGGAAAGTATTTAGAGAAATAGAGGATATAATGAACATTAAAATAGAAACAAGTCCTAGTATAGCTTTATTATCATTATATAATAATAAACAATTGAAAAAAAGAGGATAAAGATGCGATAACAAACTTATTAACAATAGCAAAAGTGCTTATAGCAAGGAATTGGAAAAGAGAAATAAATATACAAACAGAGGAGTGGCACAAGGAAGTATGGAAATTGGCAGTAAATGATAAGCTGACATGTATATTAAAAGTTAAAAGAGGTATATGGAAACAAAGTGATTTTGATGAAATATGGAGAAAATTTATTGAAAAAGTATTTAAAAAGAAAGAAGGAAAGTTATCTCCACAAGAAGAACTGAAATTTTGGACAGATGATATATAAAAGCTGTGGTTTGGGAGGGAAGGAGCGCGGGGTGAGAAAGATAATACGTATAGGCAGAAAAATTACAATAGATAACAAAAGTTGAAGTATGATAGATTGTATTGAATAATATGAATCTGCTGTAAATTAAACAATGTATAACAAATTTATTGAACTATGATAAAATAATAAAAAATATTTTAAAAAATGAAATATATCAATGAAAGATTTTCATGAGATATGTTGTGTCCCCATACATTTCATTACTACAATTTATGTATATGTCCCTACATCTTATAAAAGGTTGGTTTAACTTTTGGTTTGCTGGTAAAACTGAATTACTGTGTTGCAGAATATGTGTCTAAAACATGCGTCACCAACATGAAATATTTGAAAAGCTCTGGTCTATGGTGTGTTCTACCACTCCAGAAGACTACGTTGGCAAGCACACCAGTCAGGGCTTTTTCTGTAATGGTACCTGGGCTGTGAAACTCCTTCTGAAGGAAGGTCAGGTCTTCTCCATCCCTCTTGAACTTCTGGAAAGCATCTAAGATAGTAATGTTTCACATAACCTTTTGGTCCTTACACCCAGGACAGGCATTGTGTGTTTAAACATCGGTTTAAAAGTCTGTTTTGGCATGATGTATGTGGAATTATTTGGTTCACACTGCCACCTGCGTCCTCTAGAAGACTTGGATGGTCTACTATCCAAGCATTAACCAGGACTGACTCTCCTTATACACAAGCATGTGGACAATTTCAACTGGCTACCAGTATTAAAAAACTTTAAAATTACAACAGCACAACAGAGAGGAAACAAACAAGCACATCTAATCACCTCTCAACAAAAATTGCTCCAGGCACTGCCAGGCAATCAAATGCTAATCAAGATGGTCAGTTAAAACATTCACACCTAGCTCCAGCAGACAAGAGTCCTTTGTCCCACCCTGGTCATTCCACAGATATATAAACCTTTTTCCCTAGTTCCAACAGACCTCACTACCTCTGAGGATGCTTGCCATAGATGCAGGAGAAACGTCAGGAGAAAATGCCTCTAGAACATGGCCATATAGCCCGAAAAAACCTACAACAACCCAGTGACTCTCCTTAGTTTCTAATATCAGACAGGATCTGGCACTTTTAGGGTCTAAGGCAGGTGATTAACAAATATGACAACAAATAATAATGTGGGGAGCAGGTACTGTATGTGTAAGTGTTGAAAAACAGGTAAATTGCAGACTTGATGCCCTTCCTTCCACCCTCAATTTGAATAAGATCTATGTTTACCCTAGAGCAGTTGTTCTCAACCCTCCTAATGCCGCGACCCCTTAGTACAGTTCCTCATGTTGTGGTGACCCCCAACCATAACGTTATTTTCGTTGCTACTTCATAACTGTAATTTTGCTACTGTTATGAATTGTAATGTAAATATCTGATATGCAGGATGTATTTTCAGTCACTGGACCAAATTTGGCACAAATATCCGATACGCCCAAAATTTGAATACTGGTGGGGTTGGGGGTGATTGATTTTGTCATTTGGTAATGCTGGAGTTGCTGGGATTTATAGTTCACCTTAAATCAAAGAGCCTTCTGAACTCCATCAATGATGGAATTGAATCAAACATGGCACACAGAATTCCCATGACCAAGAGAAAGTATTGGGAAGGTCTGCTGGACAATGACCTTGAGTTTTTGGAGTTGTAGTTCACCTATATCCAGACTGTGGACTCAAGCAATTATGGATCTGGATCAAACTTGGCACAAATACTCAATATGCCCAAATGTGAACACTGGTAGAGTTTAGAGAAAATAGACCTTGCCATTTGGGAGTTGTAATTGTTGGGATTTATAGTTCACCCACAATGAAATAGCATTCTGAACCCCACCAATGATAGAATTGGACCAAACTTTCCACACAGAACCCCCATGACCAACAGAAAATACTATGTTTTCTGATGGTCTTTGGTGACCCCTCTGACACCTCTCGTGACCCCCATAGGGGTCCTGACCCCCAGGTTGAGAAACACTGCCCTAGACATTCATGCCACATTTTAAAGTTCATCCACTATTACACCTTAACCAAAGAACCCAGGAATGGATAGATCTGTTTTTCTATTTATTCTTATCAAATGAATCATTGTGTGTAGTGTGTGTATGTGTTGAAGTTTGCTAGTAAAATCATAGCTCCTTGAGTGCTTATGAAGGCAGTGAGAACTTCAACAGATTTCCATCATCTGCATAAAGTTACTGTTCTCATCAGGAA